ACATAGGAAATTGAGCTTTAGACCCAAAAAAAAACCGAACAGAAAAGACCAGTAGACCAAACCACGTTAACTCCATTGTTCCAAAAAGAAGGAGGAAAAGCTCCGCCGCCGGCAGACCCTCCCATTTGCTTTCACTGAGGCGTTCGCAGGAGAACTTCCCGCGGGACAGCAACCCCTCAGACTAGCAGGATCCAACTGGCTGGGGCATGGCCAATACCAGACGATCTCGTCCAAGCAACCTCCAGCGAGACAATCGGCCAGGCCGTCCACAAACCAAAGGAAGCCAGAGATACCGGAGGGTGGTGTGCGGTGGAGAGGGCTACAGGGGTGGTTGGTGGTTGGTCCCCACCCCCACCAGCCTTCTCCGGGTTCCTCGGTGGCTTCCCCGAGTTTGCTCTAGGCCGCCCTTGTTTCTGTGTGAGCCTCTCTGCTCAGCACAATGTCCAGTCCTGCAAAGGTCAAGGGGTTTGGCGGGGTCATCCTGTAGCTGCCATACCAGGCTAATCGCTTAGAAAACGTGTCCCTTGCATGAACTCTGCGCTCCCTCCGCAAGCAGGCCGGACTCTCACAGTTTAAGCCCCCTGAACAACGTTTGAATCCAGTGGCACCTTGAAGACCAACACAGTTTTATTAGTCCCCTGGCTTTCTTTTTCTAAAAACGTTCACTCTGCCCTAGACGGAAAAGGAGACGGATGCATCAGACCTAAACAGACGATCTCCCACCTCGGCTCCTGAGCCCGGCCCAAATCCACAGAGCCACCAAAAGGGACAGACATTCCCTAGTCACGCCTTTCCCTGTTGAAAACTGTAGCTCTCAGCAATGTCACAGCCGCTTTCCATGAGCCCTGAAGTAGACGGAGTTGTAGGGCATCCTGGTACTCAGGGCTCCAGCTTGCCCCCCCCCCCCATGCAGAAATAAAAATACAACAGCTAGGTCCCTTTCTGAACAAACGCCGAGAGACTCATCTCCCCCCCTCCATAGCCCACATTATCATAACAGACAAGAAACCTTCCTCGCAAACCTCTTTAGAAAACACTTAAAAAAAAAGCTAAATTATGATTCCTTTTAAAACACCTTCCGTCATTTGCAGCTTCTTTCTTTCTTTCTTTCTTTCTTTCTGGAATGAAATAAACAGTTTCTCGGCTCCCACCAAAACAATAATATTTAACATTGCAAGTGGTGTTTGTCATTAATACAAAACCTCCTAAACTGTTACCACCTATTCTTCTCTCTCTCTCTCTCTCTCTCTCTCTCTCTCTCTCTCTCTCTCTCTCTCTCTCCTTTTACCATGAAAAAAAAAATCCTACCCTCCCCGGCTTTTGAAGCCATTCAAAGCCAGGACAACACAGCTTACTTCCAAGTAAACACGACTTCTCGGACTACACAGGACGGGAGTTTAAGAGAAGACATTTAAGGTTGCCCTGCCCTCCCCGATCCTGAAATATACAGTTTCAATCAAGAGAATGCTCAGAGACATAAAGTTTCTTTTAAAAAAAAAATTGCTTACCTTTTTAACTTCTCTGGAGGTCTATCCAGATGCTCGCAGATGCTGTTCATGGCAGTATATATATATTCTTTTATTCCCCTTGAAGATCTCTTGAAAGACTCTAGGCTCCCGGGTACTCTTTTTTCCCAACAGAAGGTCTGCGGAGATTTGCTGTTGAATAACAATAGAAAAAGAATAAGTATTTGGAGAAAGAAATGATTAATGATTTATTCCTGTATAATTCTCACATTTTTCTCCGCTTCTGTCTGCTTTACAATGCTTGTGAACTTTTAGGGCCTATAGAAATCTCCACCCTACAATCCATTCACACTCTCGTGCTTTGATTTGGCTCTATAGAAACCACACTTTTACCAGCCTGGACTTTAAGAAAAGTGTTGCTTGGGAGCGTATGCCTGTTGTTTTTTTTCATTGGGGTGTGTGTGTGTGAGAGAGAGAGAGAGAAGGAGTCCATGCCTTCAATTCACACTGAAAGACATCTTCTGGCCCAGCTGAACTCAATGGAAATGTAGTATGAAGCCCCTTTTTTGACAAAACTACATATTAAAACAATCCCGTATTACAGCAAACCCTTCTTTCATGTTTGCCATTAAGAGAGAGGGTGCAACATTCCCCTCCCCAATCTCAGGGTCTCGCTGATGATAATAATAATAATACTAACAGCCGCTTCCCCCCCACAATATAACAAGACCCGGACATTACAGCATATTGCATGTGGCTTGCATAGGTATTGATTCAAGAGGTGTCCTCTTATAGTAAAGGGGGGGGGATCCAGGAAAGGTAGCCAACATCATCGTTGCAAAAACATCTTATGTGTGCAAAACCATTTCTGACCCAGGGCATCAGGGAGCGCAAACCGCCACCGTATCCTATTTCGGTGGCGCTTTACTGTCAACCATGGAGGGCCTCTGCCTTGCGGCTGAAACCCATCTGCTCCATCAGCAAAGCGAAATAAAATGTACTTGGGTTGCTTTTGGATTGTGGACGGTGCTTTCGGCCCACAAGCTACTTGTGCCGGATCAGTCCCAGTGAAAGTCTGACACCCAAAGCCGGTTATGTGTGGGAAGGAAGGTTATGTTCTCCTCTGCATTTTTTGAACTTCTGTCTGTCTGTCTACATCTACATATCGCCTTATTGACAAATCTCCACTGCTTCCTAGTAATCAAGTTATATGGAGGCTATCAGGCTTTAGCTCTATTGAATCATGATTTTGAGAGTGCCCATAAGGCAGTAAACCGACTCCCGGTTTGGATAAGTGTTGGAAAGCTGGCCTATAGATAAGGTTGTGCCAGAAGTATTTGAACTTTCCTATTGAAATAAACTTTTCTCTGCTGCATCTAAGAAACCCAGGTGGAAAGTATCCTCCTTCACGAGCCCGATTGAAATGGACGGGGACTCTCTTTCGGGGAGGCTTTTTTGAAAGAAAACTTCTGGCTGGGTTGTGGTCTAAGCCGGCAAACCAAGCTTGGGACCCTGCTAATAAGCAGGGAGGATATGTTTCTTAGAAGAGAAAATTTAAGACAAAATCATGGTTTGCTTGGTATGGTCTCAGACCCCCCCTCCCTCTTTTATATATATAAAAAAACCTTAGAACTGGAATGCTATTTCGTCCTAAACAGTATTTTCGATACTTTGTATGGGAAAGAAAATGAAAATTAATACAAGAGCCGTGGAGCACAAAAGGAGCCATTTGTCTTCTTGATTATCTATTTGCTTGTCAGAGTTTGAGCTATTGCCGTGGCTGGCTCCTTTGTAATATAAAAATACACAGGGAAAGGGGGGGACCCTGCAAACACCGAGAAACATCTGTGCAAAAATTATGGTCATTAAATGCATTAAATACCTTCAAGAAGGTAGCTTTTCTTGAAAGGAGGGAAAGATACGGCATGGAAGAACAACACACACCCCATACACACACACACACACCGTATCGGTGCGTTAGAGTCCGGGTGCCAGGCAGAATCTATTCAACCATCGAAGTACTCGTTTTGAGCTGGAACCAGTTGGAAGGCGAAATGTAACCACATTAATGCAGGCTTAGAGGAAATAAATCACCCCTCATAAGGCTTAGCGGTAGTTAAAGAGGATATACCCTATGGTCAAACATCTTCTGTTTCCATTAGAGAAAGGGGAGGCCAGGAAATTGACAACAATAATAATAAAAGAAAAAGAAAAATCTGGATGAAACTCAAAAGGGAATCTGAAAACGGTCAGAACAAGAGGAACCAGGTCCTTGCCACGACCCATATTCTGAAAAACACAGAGAGCCGTGTTCACCAGGATTCTTCTTTTTATTATTTCTTTTTCCACCATGGTTTGCTATGTACATGTTCTTATGGAGATCACACAGAACAACAAGAGGTAATTTATACGGAAGTGTGGGAAGGGGAGTATTTTCCCCTCCCCAAAGTTGTCTTGAATCACACCATTCCTGAATGTCATGGAGGGAGGGGGGAGAGAAAGAGAAAG